CCTCAGAAAAGCGGCTTTTCCGCGACACCGGGGAGGAAAGGGAGACGGGAGGGTGTTTCTCCTTCGCCGTCTCTCCCCCAGCTTCTGCCTGAAGGGAACCGGCCTCGGCGGCGGCGGCGGCAACTGCCGTCCTGGCTGCTCCCGGGCGCCTCTTCGTCAGCGCCGGCCACACTGTCGCTTTAAGCCGCGGCCGCCGCGCCTCCTCCTGCCTCCGCCTCCTCCTCCCTCCTCATCCTCCACTGAGCTCTTTCCCAGCGTGGAGCCCAACACTTATCAGCCAGCAGTAACCCACCAAAAATAGCCCATGATGTCACCCCGGGGCCTTCCCATTGGCTGCCGACGACGCCTCCCGAGAAATGGGCGGAGCCTCCGGCTGGTGCCCGTTGCAAATCTCCTTGGCCACCCCACCCACTAGAAGCTTCTCCTCCCCCTTCTCTCTCTCTCTTTCTCTTTGCGCGCGCGGCATGGCGGGATGAGGTAATGCCTGGGCACCCTTGCAGCGGGGCATTGTGGGCTGACGTATTGTTTTTGAATATCGGGTTACCCGCTTAAGGAGCTCCGGTGGCGGTTGGCAGGGAAAGGGAGGGGGAGGGGAAAGGGGAGGAGCCGCCGCGCGCGCTGAGGGGCGGGGAAAGGAGAGGGGTACGTTTTATATGGGGAGATACCAAGTGATGAATGGGGATGGGGGGAGAAAGGAATGATCCAAAGGGAAGGGGAAGAAGGCGGTGTAGCTGCCCCCGCCTGGCTCGCTGTGAAATGGGTTATATTCCGGGAAGGAGAGGGATTGGGGGCTTAATCGGGCTTTCAAGTCTCTTAAGTAGCTTTCTGATAAATATCCCAGTAACCTGAGAGTCCTTAAAGCGGAGTCTGTGGTTGTTGTAATCCTGACGGTGGCATATGGGTCCGGAGCTGGGACTGAGGATGATGGGATGGCTTTCACGTGGTGGCCCTTTGCTCCGCCTGAGGCAAATCCCCAAGAGCTTCTTTCCACACAAGGGAAAAAGAGGGAAAATATTGGACTGGCAGCGACCCTCGAGCCAAAGCGGTTTACTTTTACAACAATAATAAAGACGTGTGTTGTGTGTCTTCAAGTCGTTTCCGACTTATGGTGACTCTATCACGGGGTTTTTCATGGCAAGTTTCTTCAGGAAGGGTTTGCCATGGCCATCCTGTGAGGCTGAGAGAGTGTGACTTGCCAAAAGGCACTCACTGGGTTTCCACGGCTGAGCCGGGATTCGAACCCTGGACTCCAGTCCAACGATCAACCCACTCGCACTAATGGTGGGGAGCAAATATGTGAGGCACAGGCATATCTTTTCACCAGCAAATAACTCTCTATCGGCACCTGAGGGGCTTCTCCCCCCCCCCCAACCGGTTTAAGAGTTTATTATTTTCCTTGCTTCGAGAGCGATTGCCTTGACGTCGTATTTTGCAGCGCTCCTGTGGGACTCCTGGCGACATGGTTTTAAGACAGAGAGGCTCTTGGGCGCCGGCAAGAACTCGCCTCCAAAGCCTTGATTCTTTATTGATTTTTTTTAAAGCGTCCCCATTTGATTCTTTCTTTAACAGAAGTCCAAAACACGCTGTAGAAATAATCCAGTCTGAGACCGCTTTAATTGCCCCTGCTCAATGCTAGGGAATCATGGGAATTGTAGTTTATTGTGGCACCAGAGCTCTCTGACAGAGGAGGCTAAATGTCTCACAAAACTACAGTTCTCCAAATTCCCTAGCATTGAGCCGGGGCGGTTTAAAGCGGTCTCAAACTGGATTATTTCTGCAGTGTGCTTGGGACCATTGGAAAGGACGG